TATATATATATATATAGTCTTGTGGTCCCCCCAGCTGCTGCAAGCGCAGCAGGAGTGACGCCGACTCCCACGCGCAGCGCAGCAGCAGACCTTTACCTGGGGTTTGGGAAGGTGTGGCTTTGATATGGGATGTACGATTGCCTCCACTGGGTAGCATACCGGGGCTGCAGCAAGCAGGGGACTGTGGAAGATAAATCTGTGATTCATGCGTTGGCGTTGTGCCTTGCAGGGCTGCCTATTCAAGTGGCCACCTGGGTGGAGTGGGGTCGGTCAGACACAGGCGACTCCGGGCGGATGTTGTGGAGGGACTGTGAGGTTGTGCAGTTGCTGCCCAACCACAGTTTCAGGGCTCGCTGCTTCGCCTCGGACGAACCTAAAGTCAACGCAACCGTACGTCCCCATACTCCTGGTCCACTCTTACCCTTAATATATGCTTTGGATTCAGGGCAAAGAAGTAACTATGCCTCTACAGCCTTATTCATGCGCACAGATGCTAGACCCTCCAGCACAAAGATAGTCAGCCCAAAGGCCCAACCTGTGTAGATATTGCTGGATGCATTGTGGGTGGGCCTGAAGGCCGTTGTAGGTTTCCTTCTGATTGTCTAGGAAAATAATGACACCTCTCCGCCTGTGGCAGGGGGTACCTTCGTTTTTCTCGAAGTTCGATTTCTTTTTCTCTGGGCGGTGGTTCGTGTGGAATGTGGTGGGTTTGTTGGAGCAGCTGGGCTGTGTTGGTTTGTGGCGACTTGTTCCTTTGTTTGCAGGAGTATGTCTGCCGCATGAGCGACTTCGTGCCTCCCCGAGTGCCCTGCCCTTCACCGACGGAGTGCGCTTGGCGGCTGCTACCATTGGAGGCGGATGTCGCTAGAGATATATATCCTGGGGCATGCCTGTCTGTGGGCTTGACGGCTACGAGCCCGTCACCACAGGAGCAGGGGGTGTCGGAGTCCTTCGCGCGGGCGTACTTTGTTGATGTGGTTGTCCAGGACGTGTACTTCTCGCTAGAACAGGCATCCCGCGCCAAGTCCGCGGTGGCAGAGGCGCGAGAAAGGGATGAAGCTACAGGCATCCGCACTGTCTTTATTGGCCGCAACAAACATTTGAGCTCTACAGATGCCGTTAATCCAGCAGCAGCGGCGGCGGCGGCGGCAGCAGCAGCAGCAGCTGCTGCTGCTGCAGTAGCAGCTGCACGAGAAGGAGTTGGAGCGGCACCGGCGGGGCCTGTCGAGGGCTTGCGCCCAAACTGCGTCGTACGGGCTATGCGGGTAATGGTCCTCCGGACGGGTGGAGCTGCAAATGAATTCGCTTTGGTGGCGGGGAGGCGGATTTACAGGCTGCCGTTTGATTTGTTTAACGACAACGGAGGCATCTTGAGAGATTGTGGGGCCCGGCGCAGACAGAGCTCGATCGTTCCTCGACTCGTTTGGGCCATCCCCAGGGCCTTGGTGCCCCCACAACCGAATCAGTCTAGAGGAGCGGCCAAGACGGGGGGCGCCAAAGGCGGGGCCGATCCGACAGTGGAGGTTGCAGCGAAGCGGTGGCAGTACAGGACACAAGAGAATAGCACAGAGTGGACGGTGTTTCCTCCCTTCGTTGTGGTGTACATACCTTTCGACGGTTCTGCGTGCTACCAGAGAAGTCATCCCCTGCTGCTGCGCTACTTGCAGCCCGAGGTCGATATAAAGGCGCTTTGTCAAGGTGGCTGGCGCCTCTGCTTGCCACAGTACGAGACCCCCTGCATGCCTCCTGTGCTGTTGCCTCACCCCAGCGATGCCGCTGCGCCGGCGCTGAGAGCTTCAGGCGGCTGCTGCAGAGAGCCTGAGGAGACATGGGGGGAGGGGCAGTTGCGACTGGACAGTCCATATACGGCCAGCGCCTCCCGCTGTGGCACTGGGCCTGGGGGTGGTACTTCTGAGGGCCGCTTGGGCGTCATCAACAGTGACGAACTGACGGATTCCTTTTGTTGTTCCTTGCAGACTGCAGCAGCACCGCCGCAACCGCTGAACACCAGCTCTGGTGGTGCACCAGCGGGTGGGGCAGAAGGGGGGGCCCGAGCAAGCGTATTGGGCATCAACCATCTGGCGTCTCTCCTGTGCAGCGGGGCAGAGGGTGCACCTTCTCGGGAGTTGTTGGCGAAAGCGCTCCCATTCTTCCGGGGTCTTCTGCCTCATCTAACTTCTGCGCAACCCTCAGAAGCAGCAGCAGACTGGCAGCTCGATGTGGCTCGAGCAGCCGTTCGAGCAGCAGAGCGGGCGCGGGAACTGTACGTGGAGGAAGAGGAGACAGAGGCTGAGAGGCTCCGCCGCCAAGGCCTCTCCTTTGCTGGACCCGCCGTAGGCACTGCGCCCCTAGCAGAGGTCAGTACGAGCCGTATGCCAGCTCTTAGGAGATTGCCCCCTCTTCCAGTCACCCGCTACCCAACGGGCTGCCAGCCGCTCAGCAGGCCGCTGGTGCGCTGGTGCGTAGAGGCAGCTTCAATTGACCGTACCCGCTGATGCGTGCTCTTGAACAGTGTTTCATCCTTAGGGGACAGGAAAGATACGTCCTCACAATGATTGTGGCTCAGCAGGCAGTCGATGCCGCTAGGAGCTTGATACCGGCAATTAATGAGGGGCACTAGACAGTGTTCTCATTGCCTATTGTGTGCTGACTTACGGGTGTAGAGTTAGTATTTGAATTTGTCCAAATTCTGTGCATTTGAGAATTTGAGGGACCGGCTGTAAAGGGATGAGGACTATTGGTCTTGTGGGGTGCTGGGGTTGGTGTGTCTGCAGGTAGCGCGACCTCAGCGTGCGCCGGAGTTTGCTGGGGGAGTTGGTGGACAGGAAGGAGAGGGGGCAGAAGCGTGGGAGTTGTTCGGAAGCCCGGGAAGTCGGTACCCTACAAGTAAGGACATCTCTCGCTTCCTCCTCCGAACATCAGGCCACAGCCTGGGGGGGGTCCCGGGCAGAGCCAGTCGCGTCTTGGATGCCGTTACCTCGCCGACAGAGGCCACAGGGGGCCCAGCAGGGGGGCCGCGGCGGCGACCTGTGGACACTCCTGTAGGGGTCGTGGCGGGCAACTCTCGCCGCGAGCCCGGCGAGCTAGTGAGCGTTGCAGGGGATCGCCGTGGGAGAACAGAAGACAGCGGCTATATCTCAAGGGGCGCAGCCGGAGCAGGATCAGCTGATGACTGCGACATCCACGGCGGCCGGAGGTTGACGCCGACAGTTCCTCCAACGAGCTTCATAAGGATGTCTCCTCAAGAGGAAGCCGCAGGAATCCCACGAACACGGAGTATTCTCGCTGCACCCAACAGGGCACAGGTCGCCGTGGGGGCTCCGATGGGAGTGCCAAGTAGGCGGCCTGTGGGAGCGCAGCGGGCAGAGGAGGAGGAGGAATTGCATTCGGCATTGCGAAGCGCAGGTGCAGCAGCCACAGCAGCAGTAAGACAAGGGAGTACTGGGGGTAGGACAGGCCCTGTGCGGCGAGCAACCAGAAATGTGAGCTACGCTGCCCTGGCTGGCTTGGAGGAAGCCCCTGAGGAGGCTGCTTTCTACCGTCCGCTTAAAAGGATGGCTAGAGGGGGGGAAAGCGTCCCTGCAGGTTCTACAGTAACACATGGGGCCTCGGATACGGCCTTCGGGGACTTATGGGATCGACCGCATGCGGTCCCACGAGGAGGCGGAGGGGATAGCGGCGACGGTGCACCTAGTGACCCCCGCCACCACCAGCAACAGCAAGCGCAGGTGCAAGCGCAGGCTCGTGCAAGTCTGCAGCACTGGGTGGCGCTGCAGCGACAGGCTGCTGTTGCTGAGGAACGGCTGCGAGGCAGCAGTCACACTGCATCTGCAGGGGAGGTGCGCGAAGGTGAAGACAGTCTGTGCACCGAGGAGCTGCAAGAGGCCTTGAAAGGATTTGTGCAATCCATAAAGGCGGGGGCATCTCCTCCGGTGGTTAGCGTACCACCCATAGCGAGGGACAGGAGCTTCGCAGCGTTGCACTGAGGTGATTCATTTCATCTTCCCGTTGGCGCTTGACATATCTGTGCATGGAAGAGCAACTAAAACGTGACTCCTGCCAGACAGCCCCTGGCAGCCAGCAGGACAACTACTGCCCTCAAAAAGCAGGAGACAGTGACAGAGAAAAGCACAGGCCCGGATGGCTACATGGTGCTGCTGCGCGCACTCATTGCAGCTGTTAGTGGTCTGCATATAGATGGGCAGCGGCGACCGTGCAGGCGTGCAGGCCTTTGCCGGGTTCCAATGTTGGACGTCTGTGTGCCAGTGGTGTCGTGCAAACAATAGAACTGGCGGAGGGGAAGGTTGCACAGAGGTAAATAGCATTGGGAACGACTCCTCTCGGCAGCAGGAGGGATGAAAGGAAGAGGCGGGTGGAGGAAGAGGGATGGGCCTATTGTGGAGACGTGGCAGCGGGGCTCCCCTTCAGGTTATGCAGTCTTTCAGAGGATTGCAAAAGCTGCAGCGTCTGCTTGCCGTGGTGTTCTGTTTGCTGTTAGCGTTTAAAGCGGCCCTTGCAGAGGGCAATGCAGCTGCGAGAGCCAAGAATGAGGAGGCAGGGCAGTACGCATGCACGCATGGTTATGTATATCAATTTATATCCATGCAGACATGCTTGCATGCATGTGCTTCCAGTGTGCATGCATGCATGCAACGGGGCGAGTTAGCCGTGTCTGTATGAAGACAATCGGGCAGTGGCAGTGTATGTGAAGTTTCAAATTGAGGGGGACCGCAGCGCCAGAGACAGAGGGAATTGTAGAGTGCGTTGCTGTTGGTGTTGCCAAGGGGTCGGCGAGACCTACCCGGTTCAGGGTCAGGGATGCGCATACACCCCAATTGTGTTAGACAACACCTGTCCGTAAATATTTGACTACTTAGACAGTTCTGATAACAGGCGGCACGCAGGTGCTGCCCGAGCTGTCTACGCACTAGGCTGAGGAGTCGAAAGTAGCCCCTAATATACCCAGCACTCAGCAGCACCCCCTTGTATAACGCGTGGACGACTTGCGTACAGCATGTAGGTAGTCGTAGGTCAAAACTTCGAAGTATACAAACGTCTAAGGACGGCCCTTTGCCACATACAGTGCAGTGTGTACCTTATATAGACACGAAAAGGCAGGAGCTGACACTGCGTTAGGCTGAGGCGATAAAAAGATGTTGGTGTATATATAATATATATATATATATATAT